CTTGAAAATTTTGTGGTAGTTTGCTAACGCGATATACAATGTCAGGAGTTTTCTCTTCATAATAAAAATCGAGCAAAAGAAGTCATAATAATTTATAGTTAGTTGTAAATCTGTTAATCCAGTCAAGGTTATGGTGTTCTGGCATTAAAAAAAAAAATTTAATTATTACCAGTTTTGTCCTCATGGATTTAGAGACTTATTATCTATTTGTGCGATACCTTAATGACATCATGGTGCCCTTCTATTATAATGATAAACAAATAAGGGATCTTAAATATAAGACCCGAAATTTCTTCGTTCAAGATAGGCTTTTGTTCAAACGAAATTTGCAGAATCCCTTTCGTCCCTTGCGAGTAATCAAGATTGATGAAGTCAAAGCTATACTATTTAGTATGCACAATGATCCTTTAGCAGAGCATTTTAATTTCCACTTGACCTATTAACGAATTGCAGTTCGATACTTTTGGCCTCAAATAGGCAATGATATTAAATTGTACATTCAAACGTGCGATATTTGTCAGCGAAAATCTAGACCCACAACGCGCGAACCTTTATATCCTATTGCCATAGATAAACCGTTTGATAAAATCAGAATCGACATTGTTGGTCCTCTTCCTAAAACCTCTAAAGTAAACAAGTACATAGTCGTGGCCACAGAATATCTTACTAAGTGGCCCGAAGCCAGGGCTTTAAGTATGTGTGATGCCGAATCAGTAGTAAATTTCCTCTTCGACGACATAATCTGTAGGCATGGTGCTCCTCAGCAACTCTTATCCGATAAGGATACTCATTTCTGCAATAAATTATAAAGGCGCTTTGCACTAAGTTAAATATTTATCGTACCAAATCAACAGCTTACCATCCGCAAACTAACGGCTTAGTTGAAAGGTTCAATAAAACATTATGTGCCATTCTTTGCAAGTGCGTAAATCAATTTAAGGAAGAATGAGATGATTTAATAGCACCGGCTCTTTTTGCCTATAGAACTACTAAGCATCATACTACTCAATATGAACCTTTTTATTTAATATATGGAAGAGATGCTTTAACCCCCTTGGAAGTTTATGAACGTACCTCTTCTAATAAGCTGATTACAGAAGAAGAGCTACAACAACAAATAATGCAGAGGATTGAAAAAGTGCTAGGATCTTTAACAGAATCCCATATGATAGCAAGAAAAAAAATAAAGCAAGCACAAGCTTATCAAAAACGGTACCATGATAATAATCATAAGTTAGAGTCTTATGAAATTGGCGACAAAGTACTACTTCAACGGTCTGAAATTCAACATTCTAAAAGCGCTAAACTTGAAGTTCAATGTAGCGGTCCTTACTATATTCACAACGTTCTAGGAAATAGAACTTATAAGTTAAGAACTATCACCAGGAGTGAAGTTCTTAAAAAAGCAATTCATGGAAACAGGCTGAAGCTATACCACCCCCGTCCAGGTGCTCAACTAGTTACGATTAATTATGAAAATTAGATAAAAAGACCCATCGCAACGTTCCGTAGCCTTTTAATTCATTATGGAATGTCCTACTCTTCCTGAAAATATTAAACAAACTATTGTTCTTCTACAAAAACAAATGAAGTCAGCTGACCTATCTGGAAGCCTATACATTGATCAACATCACGTCGAATATGGAATTGGAATCGAAAAGAATGAACTGGTGATTTCTACAACTTCTGGGCTGAGTGACGCTCAAAAGATTCGGTCGAAATTATTTTTATACCTCAATGATTTGCGCCAAAACGAAGTATCCTCTCGAGTTCTCCCTGGCATTGAAAATGATAGCTGGACTAACCAAGTTAAAAATTTATGTAATTACATAGCCTCTACGTCTGATTCCGTGATTTGATTAGGATATCATTATTATCTTGGGATTTCATTAGAAGCTCACTTTTGGAATGAAGGTGCTCGAAAAGAAGTTCGCAAACACTTCCGCCCCCGTAAATATCATGAAATTTGGAAAACCACCTATCGTGTTTACCAATTATACTCTATTCGAGGCCTTGGTAATCTTTTATCGTCTCAACATATTACTCCTTTTGTCCTATTCCGTATGTATGATGAAGATTTTTCTATGTTATTAGAAGAAGCCAGATCTATAAGAAATTCGGAAATTGACGACTTACTTGGTTCGGTAGATGCATTACTGGAGACCCAAATGCAGGAGGAGGAGTATGTCACAAATATCTAAATTTGTGACATAGAGAGAACGATTTTTCTCTATTTCCTTTTATGTATATAGTTTTTCTTTTAGTAGTTATTATATTTTATTTCTATTTTCATATTATACATTTACGATAAAAGATAGACAAATTCAGGTGAAACTTGAGGATGACATATGATCGTCCATTTTTGTACAAATTGTTAGCACGTTAACGTGTTAACACGTATACGTGTCATTAAGGGGTAGCATTTTCATAGTATCGAAGGTTCGAGATAACACGCTAACGTGTTGGGCTTAGAAATTTATGAATCATTAGCACGTCAGCGTGCTAAGATAGCACGTTAAAGTGCTAAGATAACACATTAACGTGTAGCATAATAACTAAAAGATATATAAACGCTATCTCTTGACCTTTAATAAAGCAGAAGATTTTCTTCGAGTTTGTCTTATAATAAATAAAGGAAGTAAGCTAAGAAGTGCTGAAGAGACCTTTATCGCTTAAATTTGAAAATCTTTTCCGTTAGTTATAAACTCTTGTTAATATAAGTCTTGCTCACGTGACTTGAAACCTTACGAATTAAAGCTGTTATCCCCTCTTTTATTGTTGAACATTCCCCTGTTCTCTGCCCTCTTTTATTATCCTACCTGTCCCAAGTCCTAATCCTCGTTATTTCTTCCCAGTAACTATTAGAGTATAAATTGGTTTAGTTTCAGTTCTCTCCCAAATTAATAGTTACAGTAGCGAGTGGTCCTGATCGTCGTAGGGTATCGGCTAATAACGTTATTAAATGCTTCGCATCCAATAACTATATATTATTGACAATGAAATATTCTTATCTAAATCAAATTCATATGTCTACTTATTGCACGGTCTTATGTAACAGACCGTGCCTTTTTCATTTACTTATTGGCACGGGATTGTACGTCAGAAACCTGCAATAAAATAGTTATTATACGAGTTATAAAATGACCAAATTTGCACAGGTTACATGCCCGAAGGCCATGTAACCTGTGCAAATTTAGTTATTTTTTACAACCCATACAATAACTATAACACCGCATACGGTAAAGTATGTACAGTACCCTCAGAAACAGTGTTGTGAGGGTTACTATGTCCAATTGTTTTCAAATTAATTGGAGATATGTTCAATTGGTTTTGGACATATGTCTAGAGATGGGCAAATCGCGGTTTTTCCAAAAATCCCGCGCGGGATTCATTAAACCTAGGTGCCACGGTTGATTCTCGATTTTGATTGGCCAACGGCTGTGATCGACAAAATTCTGGCCCGCATTATACATAATTTTGGTCGGAATTTAATTTATTGCAAAAATAGAAGAAATTTTTAAAGTTTGGGCAATGGTAAAATTAACCCAGAAACATATTTTGCTTAATGGACGGCCACGATTTCATTAGTAACAATTCGAGTAATTTTGCCTAAATTTTTGATCGTTGCCATCGGTCAATCATAAATATGAAAGAATTATATGAGTGCGCCCTTTTCCCTCTCCCGCACTCATATAAGTAAAGAATTGATAGACATGTAAAGTAGGGTAAAAGCAGTATTTATTATTAATAATCTCAGACCTTATTAATACAATATACAACCTATAAACCGACACTTATTACGATTGACAATCCAAACACATTGCAAGAACCGATCCAATTTTTGTAAAATGGTTCCAAATATCATGATTACTACCCAT